GCCGTTCAGGGCAGTGGCAACTGAGACCAAAGCTGATTTTCTACGTCTGCACCATGATAAAGGAACCGGGTCACGATTTAGCTGGCCTCTCGGTGACACTCCTCCCGGGGGCTCACGATGGTCACAACTTGGGCCCCAAAGGGACCAGGTGCTCTGGGATGTCTACCTGGAATACGTCCTTCCCCCCTTTCCTTGGGAGAGGCTGCAGTAACCACCTCGGGTTGGAAATCACCGTCAGGTACTTCTGCGTCAGGTTGGTCAGTACAGCTCGATTTTCCAGCCCCACAGCCTCCTCCGGGGCTAAGTCGTCCGGGCACTGCAAAGTTTCCCCGATGTCAACGAGGCCTGGGAACACAGACAACACACAGCTGGGTGTCCCGGCCACAAACCGAGGACTGCCTGTGGGCCGAGCATCCCTTGGGGTGACCACTGCTGGAGACCGAGTCGTCACCCAAAGGACACGGACATGCTCAGGTCTTCTCAGTGCACACTGGTCACGTGACACACCCTGCCCAGGGCATCCTGGCCATGGCACAGAGAGGGCTCCAGAAATGAAGAGCATCAGGCCTTCTCCCCAAGGAAGCCACACGAGGGCTGGGCGGGTCACAGCGGGACTGCTGAGGGTGGCGGGGACATACTGGGAGGGCAGCAGCACTTCTGGGGAAACTACACTCAACAAGATGGCTAAGGAGGTCACCAAGTGACAGGTGGTGATGCAGGACCTCAGCCCCAAGGGAAGAGTGGCCACGTCCTGGGTGCTGCGGGCAGTGGCGTTGGGACAGGCCTGAGGGGTCAGGAAGGTGGCAGGACTCCAGACACCACCCAATCACCTGCGTCACGCTGCCTCTCGTGGAAGCTGTTGCATGTGGGTGAGTGTGCTGTGCGCACACACACCTACACACCTGCACACACACACACACACACACACAGGGTCCTGACAGAGCCTCCCAGATCCCGCACAGGAAATGAGGTCCGGAGTAGACAAACGATTTCCCAGAGGGAGGGAGGGAAGGTGGGGATCCCCAGCCCAGCACTCCTTGTGCCCCAGGGAGGGTGTGCTGTGTAGGGAAAGTGGCACGAGCTCACTCACCAGCGATCACGCCTCGGCCGAACCTCTCCCCTTCCTGAAGCAAGGCCCGGACCTGTGCAGGGCTCATCCCCAGCCTCTCCACCAGCAGCTGCCACCAGCTGTCATCTTCCCAGTCCCTGTGAGCAATGTGGATGGCGATGGTACAGTTCTTGTGGTTGCTCAGCAAGGGGCGCCACCGAGTCTCCAGGGTTTTGACTCC